GGGACTGCAGTCCCTCCCGCACCCCGGCCTTCGCGTGCGCCCTTGCGCCGTGGCGACAGTGTCGACTGTCCACCCGAGGGCCGTGCACTGGCCAGCACGGGCGACGATCTGGCTATTCCCGTCATCGAGGAGGAGCCTGGTGGGGGTGGGGGTGGCGGGGGCTGCCCTGGCTCAGGCCTCTGCGTGGAGCCCCCCGGGGAGTTGCTGGACAAGCTCGTGGCCGGCCTCGAGGAGAGACTCTTCCCCCCGCGCCTGGCAGAGCCCGTCCCAGCAGCCCCGGTGCTGGTCGTCGCCGCTGCCCCTACGTCCCCCGACCACAGCCCGGCCTAAGTCCTGTGCCCCGAGCCCACTTCTGGGCAGCTTCTCCGGCACCAGGGTCTTGGCAGCGATGGCAGTGGGACAGACCTGGGGACGCGCCCTGGCGTGTATGCACCTGGACCACAGTGGCTCGCGCACACGTGCAGACCGGGTGCTCTGGCTGTCCCAGGTGCGCACATTCGCAGCTCCACGTGTCCCTCGAGGCGCGCGTGTGCAGAGTTCAGTGGCCGGCAGTCATTCCACGTGCACACGCCACAGCTTCTGGTCAACCTCCTGCCCTCCAGGTGTGTACATGCATTGCCCTTTCTGGGCATGCTGTGGGTCGGTCATCGCAGTACCCAGAGGTGCAATGCTCCGTGACCCTGGCTGTACTAGAGGAAGAAATTCCCACCTTTGGGCTCTTAAGGACAACAGGCAATGCTGGTGGCCTCAGACAACAGCTTCAGGCCTTGCACACAGCGCCACATTTCTGGCTGCAGAGGGGTGCTGGTCCAGGCCTGCAGTGGGCTCGGGATCCAATATCTCAAGGGACACGTGTAGCCTCCCTCTACGGCCAGTTGAAGCTTGAGGCGTCAGGAGCATGTACTTGGGAGGGGAGGCCACTGTCCGCCAGGCGCATGCGTGATCCCCACCAAGGTAGGAAGTGTGAAGAGTCTAAAGATAAAAGAGCTCTCCATCCCAGGACCTGGGAGGTTGGCTGGAGGCCGCGGCTGCCAACCCCTCCAAGCCGTTTACCTCACCGCGGCATGTGCTTGCGGCAGCCCGCGCCCCCTCCTATTCCGAGCAATAACTGCGCTCGCCGCCGCCGCCGCCGCCAACGCTGCTGTCACGGCCACCAGCCCTGAACTTGGCTCCTCCTGCCGCCACTGTCTCCCTGTCCACACTGTTCTGTCCGTCCTGTCCCGCATGCGATTGGCGACCCGTGCCTGCCCCGTCCAGAGGAGCCGCTGGGGACTCAGTGTTGGAGACAAGGACAGAACACAGCCCAGGCGGCAAGGCTTCAAGTCTCCCGAGCTTTATTTATTGCCAAAAGATGGGGCCATTGGCCCTGCCCTCGCTGCTGCCCATCCAGTCTGTCCCATCCCAAGATGGCGTTCTCGTGTTGTTTTTGTTTCCTGGTTGATTATTAAATATTTACTGCACACTCCTGCCTGCTCCTGGTCTTCACTGGGGACCCAAGACTGCTGTGGCCTCAGCATCCCACACTTTCCCACTGCCCACTCATCTGAGCAAGACAAAAGCTCAGATAAGGTCCTGCCTGTGGGGACCATGTGCTTCACCCACCTCCCCATGGATCCCAAACACCCTCACAGCCACAGCTCAAATCCACCTGTTTTATTTAAAAAAAAAAAAGAAAAAAGAAAAAAGAAAAAAGAAAAGAAAAGGAACCAAACAACAAAAATGAGGCCGCGGGGCTCCCTCAGGCGGTCTGCATGCAAGGTGCTGGCAGGAGCCTGCTCTCCAGGGCCACAGCGTGTCCCCAGCAGCAGGGGCAGACGCTGGGGGGCGGGCAGAGGGCCAGTAGTCTGAACATAAAGTGCATTTCAGAGGCCAGGCCTCTGTCTCCCTCGCCTGGGGAAGGCTCTACACAGACTGCAGAGTCCAGTCGTGTCCACTACCCAGTGGTTCTGTGCGCAGGTAACCCAGGGGAGGGCTGCACCAAGACCCCTACCACCCCCCTGCCTGGCCCTTGTGCTCCTGACGTCCTGAGCGGTCAGCACAGAGGCATGGTGGCCACCTTCCTGGGCAGGCAGTGGGTCAGGAACCAACAGGAAGACTGAGGGCCTGGGCTGTGGCTCCTGGAGACAGGCTGTGGGCAAGAGGACACTGGTGGTCATTCTGGGCACCTGGACCTCTTCGTGCCTGAGAAACTACTAGATAGCTGGGAAAACTAAGGCCTGTTCAACAGGGTGAGACAGCAAGAAGCCATTTCCTGCCATGGGCTCCCTTACAGGTGGCAAGGATGCTTCAGCAGTATAACAGGGATGTGGCTGGGCAGGGGCACGTGGAGGCACACAGGGAACCCCGTGGCACCCCAGACAACTCATCCCTTCCTGGACCCCAGTGGTTCACAGCAAGCAGCCAGGCACTGCCCAGCACGCTTTGCCATTTGCAGCTGCGTCCAGAGCCTCAGGGCTGTATCTAGCATGGCCTTTCCCAGAGCAGCACAGGCCATGGATCCTGGTGTGTCTGGACAGGGTGGTCTGGAAAGTGATCCCCTCGACCCCATCCCTGACCCTGCCATGACAACAGTGGCTGTGTGGGGGGAATGACAGCAGGCGTAGCCTTGCTATATGGCTGTGTAGGCTGCAGTGACTGGCAGGACAGCTCCAGACCAGGGATGGAGCAGAACTGGCTGTGGCCACCTAAGTGCCACCTCCAGTGACAGGTCCACATCCTACACCTCCTTTTGGGGATAGCCCGGAACTCTTCCTTTTCCCACAGAGGCTGAGGTTGCCCGTCTCACCTCTTACCCACCTGCAGGTGGCGCTCTCACTGCTGCTTGCAGGCCGACAGCCGGCGGATCTTGCTGCTGGAGCAGGCCTTGCGGGCTGAGTGGGTGGCACTGGCCTTGGCCTTGGCACTCAGCTGTGCAGACTCTGTGCCGTTCATGCACACTGCCTTGGGTAGGCTGAGGCTCTGTCCATTCTGACCTGCCTCCTCCTCCTCCGGGACCTGTCCTAGGAGGAAGATGGCGAGCACCGCCTGAGCCAGGAGCAGCAGTACCGTGCCCGGCCCACACCCGTCACCTCTGCCTGCTGTGGCCCAAGTGGCACCTGAAGGGACCCCCATACTTCAAAATGAGAGCGGGCAGAAGCCTGCCTGTACCCACCTGCTGTCATAGGATAAGATGGGCTCGAAGACCAAAACAGCACATGACGATGAGCCCAGTCTGCACACCCCCACCCAGGTGCTCATCCCTGTCACGGCAAGGTCCACTGTGGCCACCCTGCCCAGCTAGGCACTTGCTTGAAAGGCAAGGGGAGGTGGAGGCCTGCCTCTCTAGCAGCTCTTGCAGGCAGGGCCAGCCCACCCAATGGGAGCTAGCATGGTCACTCAGCCCAACTCTGCAGATGTCAACAGGAAGCTGCTATCCAAGGCTCCTGGGGCCAGTATGTGCCCTGTGCTGGGCGGGGCAGGCCTGACTTGGCTTCCAGAGCTGGCCTGCCCCAACCCTGCATTCGCAGATGCTTCCACAGGGACTTTGGTAATGAGATGCCAGCCAGTCTTGTCATCAGGTCTGTGCTGAGTAGGTCTGACATCTTGCTGACTTGCAGCCTGGACCCAGCTTTTGGGATGGTGAAGGGACTGCCAGGCCAGGTGGGGACAATCAGGTGTATAAAGTGGAACCAGCCTGGGGCAAGTGAGCCACAGCCGAGCCACCGCAGCATCCTGCTTTTGCACAAAGAGCCATACCCGGTTGGGGATGTAGCGCCAGGCACAGGGGCACCTTCCGGGCAGTTAGGGCACTGGGCACAGGAGTGGAAAAGATGGTATCCACCCATCCCCTACTCTTCCCTGCCAACCTCATCTTTCTTCAAGCCAAGGCAGGCCTGATGGACTTAGGGGCCCAAGAGGGTTACTGCGCAGGAACCATGGTCTGTGTGCCAGGACCTAGCCCACAAGGAAGTTTTGGCCTGGCGCCCTGGCCTGGGGCTGAGGGGCTGCCTGTCAGGGCAAAGGGCCCAGGCTGAGTCTTGCCTTAGACAGCAGACTTGGGAGCCTCCTGGCAGGGCTTCCTCCCACAGGACCCCACATGTACACTTCTCCTCCTAGGATGCCCAGGACACCCAGGAAGCAGCTGGCACCCAGGGGCCACATCTGACAGGAGACAGCACAGCCTCCGGTGCCCTGCTCAGCCGCAGGCCACCTAGCTAGGCCAGTGGGGCTCACAGGGCCCGGGTGCTGCTGCACAGTGCCGGGGAAGTGATGCTGAGTTCCCTGACCCCGACCTTCCCAGACCCTCCCCTGCAGCCACAGCCCCATGTCCTGGGGCCACCTGCCTAGTCCTCCCACCCCTCAGGTGCCTGTTCCCTCAGGAATCCTTGTGGTAATGGCCACTGGGACCTGGCGGAGGGAAGCCACAGTGCATCACCCAGACACACGGCAGACAAAGCTTTATGGCAGAGCCAGTCCAGGGTCACTGGGTAGGGTAGGCAGCAGAAACGGCGGGGAGCAGGCTACACTAAGGCCTCGCTCCTCCTCGGCTTCCTCTCCTCAGAGGGCTGTGCCCTGGCTCCTCCATGCGCCTCGCTCCTCACTAGCCCTGCCTCAGATACTTCCTGGCCACCTGGGAAAGAAGGTGACAGGATCAGAGCACAGTTGCCTCAATGACCAGAAGGAGGGCTGCTGGACCCGCCCTGGGTAGCTGGCTGACGGGTTGCCCTGTGGAAGTGGCAAGAAGCCCCTGCAACGGGCTCTCTGGGCCTCACCACCCGTTTGTGTTGGACTTGGGCCATGAAGGCTGACGAGCAGCCGGCAGTACCTGGGACGGATGCTCAGAAGCCCTCCCACCCACACCTACCCCGAGTGCTGGGCAGCTCCCTCAGTGCGATCCTGCACCCTCTGGGACCAGGGATCTGCCACCAGGGGCAGTGCCACTCCCATAAGACATCCTGGCCAGGCCAGCTCCACAAACCCCAACCACAGCCTCTGCCAGCTCACCGGGCACCATAAAGTCCTGGGTGTAGATGACGCTATCCTCGATGCTGAACAGATCCTCGTCCTCATCCTCATCGGCGCGGCCATGCAAGTCCTCTAGGTAGGGCACCACTGTCATGCTACGCCACCGGTCCTTGGTGTCTGGGCTGGGTGGGATGGGGACCAGCGGCTCAGCCAATGGGTGTTTCTTCCGGAACCAGCTGCAAAAGCCCATGTTTTGATGTCCCATAAGGATACTGCTGGGTGACCAGCAGCTACCACTCACTCACACAGGAGCCAGGAGACAGCCAGGATGCCCACTGTGTCTATAGCCACTTATTCCACTTGAGGCTGGAGTGTCCTGGCCACAGTGCTATGCCCAAGCTGCCACCCCTGTGCCACGGACTCTCAACCTTATTCTGCTCTTGCTGCCCCAAGGCAAAAGGCTGTGCTGGCTAGGCAGAGTGGGGACACGTCTCTGGACCTCAGGAAGCCAGGTTGTGGTCACATTACCCTCTCAAATAGCTGCCTCTGGCCACCCCATATATCCCAGCCCATAACTGTCCCTATGTCCACAATGAACCACTGCTGGGCATCAAGGCCATGCTGGGCCAGGACTAATGTCCTTCGTCAGGGACCTGGCACCTCCCCAAACACTCCAGGAAGGATACTCAAACCCCGTATGATCCCACAACATGTTGGTGCCAATGCCTGGGTGCTAATGAACTCTTGCCTCTGTGGAGGCTGGAAGAACCCAGTGAGAGGGGCAGTGCCAGCTGGACCCTCTGCTCCCATGGGGCCCTGAAGCTGCCGTCTTGGTATAAACACTGGTTTCCTGGGGAGGAGCCAGAAGAGAGGAAGAAAGCAGTGCACATGCCTCACATCACCACGACACTGAGCTGAGATGGGGCTGTCCAGGCCAGCAGTAGCACTACTGCCCACATCCCATGCTGCTGGGTCCACCTCCAGTGTCCTCACCAGAACACTGCCCCGCAGTCTCCTCAAGCAGACATCCAGCTCACCGTCTTCCCCTCAGCCGTGGCTAGCCCCAGCTAGACCCCACCACCTCCAAAGGCCGAGTGTCAGGGTGACTCCATAAGAGCTCTGCAGCACACATGGGGACTTGGCAGGCACTCACCTGTGCTGCCGGATCTGCTGTATGGAGAACCTCTTGGCTGGCTCATATTCCAACATCCCTGAGGGGAGCACAAAGACCAGGTTGGAGCTGGTTCAAACACCTCAAAGCCTCCATCACCCACTGCTAACATCTGTCCCACCTCTGCCCGCAATCCTCACATGCTACCTACCTGGAGAACAATCCACCCTGGCCCTGAGCACCCAGACAGCAGGTGCAGACAGAGCTTAGATGTGGCAGCACCTCGGCCTGGCCTTCTGTTGGCCATACCAATGTGCATAAAACTTTGGGGTGAGGATTGTGACACGCCATTACCCACCGTACTCAGAGTGTGAATGGTCACCTGCACCACCTGCTGTGTGGCACAAGAAGCATCCCAAGGGTCCTAGGGGACATCAGGGAAACCCAGTCCTGAAAGGCCTGAAACTGGTGGCTTCAGGGGTGCCCCGACCTGAGGCAAAGTCCCAGAAGCAACCAGCAATCTGGGCCTGCACCTGGATGGAGGTGGTGCCAGGCTCACAGGTGAGTCCTAGTGATCCCACTGTGCCACAAGGTCCCCTGGTACACTAGGGCAGCAAAGTCTCAGCTCAGAAGCGGTGGAAAGGACAAAACCTCAGGTTGATGGTGAGAAGAAATCCTAGGCCTCTGTGCTTAGACCAGGGCTGCTGCTAGGACTGTCTTGCCACACAGACATCCAAGTGCTCTGGGAGACACCTACCTTTCAGCAGGTCGGAGAGTGGGGGGCCACAGTCACCTGGGATTGTGTAGTCGCCCTTCCCGATGTTCTCAAACAGTTTGTAAATATTGTCCCCTTCAAACGGGTACAGGCCTGTCGTGATGTTGTAGCTTTACAGCCAAGGTAGAGAAGAGGTAGGTCAGCTGCTGGCCAGAGCCCATGGAGCTCCCTTATCTCACTCACACTGCTGGAGGCAAGACTCAGTCCTAGACCCTCTGGGGATAGATAATAGCCCTGAAACCACTCCCACCCACACGTCATGCCTTCCTTTTTATTTTTTATTTTTCTGGTTTTTTGAGACAGGGTCTCACCATGTAGTTGAGACTGATCTGGAACTCACTATGTAGCTCAGGCTGGTCTCGAACTCACAGCGATCCTCCTGCCTCTGCCTCCCGAGTGCTGGGATTACAGGCGTGCACCACCACGCCCGGCCCTCACACCTTCCTTTTGATGAAAACATCAGGAATTAGAAGGCTGTGGGACATCACCACTCTGTACCAGTCTGGGCACTGCATTTTTCAAGGCAAACATGAACTGTATCTCAATAAATAAAGAGCAAGCATCTCTGGGGGCTGCCTGGGAGTGAGGGGGTTCTGGACCTCAGGACACCCTGTGCCAGACAGGGCCCATGGGTACTGGATGGATGCTGCAGTCCCTCAAGGGCCTGTATGATTCAAGTTTAGGGTCTGGGGCACTTACAACTGGGATTACGCGTGCACCACCACGCCCGGCCCTCACACCTTCCTTTTGATGAAAACATCAGGAATTAGAAGGCTGTGGGACATCACCACTCTGTACCAGTCTGGGCACTGCATTTTTCAAGGCAAACATGAACTGTATCTCAATAAATAAAGAGCAAGCATCTCTGGGGGCTGCCTGGGAGTGAGGGGGTTCTGGACCTCAGGACACCCTGTGCCAGACAGGGCCCATGGGTACTGGATGGATGCTGCAGTCCCTCAAGGGCCTGTATGATTCAAGTTTAGGGTCTGGGGCACTTACAGTGTGACCCCAGCTGACCAGATGTCCACCTTGAAGCCAGAAAAGGTGTCCAGGCCATTGGCGATCTCGGGTGGCTGGAATGCGGGGGAGCCCTGGCTGGTCCGGCAGGTGTCATCCGCAGCAAAGGGGTGCAGGGCCTGTGGCAATGCATGTGGCCATCAGGAAGTGCAGGCGAGGGCAGCACCCTGGTTCCCCACTCCCACAGAAGAGGCATTTACCTCGGCAACACCCAGGTCCGAGATCTTGAGTGTTCCGCCTGTGGTGAGCAGTAGGTTCCCCGGTTTGATGTCCTTGTGCACAATGCCCTGGCTGTGCAGGTACTCCAGGCCGTCAATGAGCTGGCAGAAGTACCTGTGGGGAGGGGACGCCCATCTCAGGGCCACCCTGCCCTCCCCGGCCCTCTGGAGCTGATGCAAACCTTGTGACCTGGGAAACCTCTTGAAAATAGGACACAGGGATGGCCACTTAGGGCCCAGGCAAACTCATGGGACAGAGGGCCAGGTCTCACTGGGGACCCCAAGGCTGAGCCCCCTGATTTCCGTGAGGCTGCAGTCACTCCCACCCAGGGCCAGAGACCCCAGGCTCACCCTGACGGCTTTGCTACCCCTTGTGACATGGGGTACCTGGACCTCCAAATATTGCCAAAACATCAAGCCCTCTCCCTCCTCCAGAGCACTGAAACAACCATGGATCTGGACTCTGTTGCCACCCAGGAGGGACAGTCGAGCCCCAGGCACCACTCCAAAGCCAAAATAGGCCTCTCTGGGGACAAGGCCACCCAGGTAACAGGTGGACAGTTCTTCCAGTGCAGCTGGGCTGTGGGCACTGCAAACTGAGGCCTCTGAAGCGCAGTTACAAAACCCTCAGCTGTCATTCCGATATTTAGAATCTAAGTTTAAAGATGGGCCCAAGTCGAACTGGCCTTGTATCCATGTGTGGGCTGGGGCCTGCTGGGCAGCACTCACTCACCCATGGGCCTGGCACACAGGGAACCGCTTCTCAGGCACGCTGTCCAGCATCTCCTGCATGCCGCACACGCAGTACTCCATCACCATATACGTGGGGCGCTAAGGAAGCCACAGCTCAGTGGGGACCCCACACCCTGTTGGGCCCCAGAAGGGCAATGGTTCAGAGAGGGACACTCTGTCACCTCAGCCCTGGACCAAGAGTGGCCAAGGTCATGAAGATGATCATGTGTGCTCAAGGGAAGGGGCCCTTGGGGAGAAGGAGCTGCGGTCCTGGCCTGCTACACTTACTTTGAGTACAAGTGCTAAGGTCTGTAGAGGGCACAGTCCCCCCAAAACCAAGGCCAGATCTGCCTGCTCAGCCATAACACCTAGGGGACAAAGACCAGGGCTGTGGATGTTCCCAGCAATTCCCAAGAACAATTCACTTTTCCCTGCCCACAGCACCCCCTCCAAACGGACACAGTGTCCATGCCCAACAACCACGAGCCCTGGGGACCTCCAAACTTGAGGGTCAGAATTCAGACAGAGACCCAGGATATCCTACCTCTCACCAGGGTAGGAGGGAGGAAATCCTGTACTAAGCTTCCTGACTTCTCTGCCTCAGCTTCCCACATCACAGATGGGGGTCCTCAGAAACAGCCTAAGGATACACCAGGCTCTGATTGAGGTCACACCACACCAAGATCCCTGCTGGGTAGCAGAGGCTCAACACCACAGGGCTGACTGTGGAGGAGCCATCAGAAGCCCCCCCAGCCCCGTACCCCACTCCCTCCACCTGCACAGGGGCCCCTACCCGGAAAGGATATATCTTCTGCTTCTCCTCATTGTACAGCACATCCACCAACTGGATGACATTCCTGTGCCGTAACCTCCTCAGGAGCTGGATTTCCCTGGAACCAGAGGACAGGCCTCGGTGGACCCCAGCTTCAGTGACCATGGCCCCAGGGCCGGGCCGCCTGTGCCCTGCTCACCAGGAGCACCTCCCTGCCCTCTATTGGACAGCCAGCCAACAGGCCACCCAGAGAAGGTGTTCTTGGGCCCAGGAAGCTGCAGGAGCTTTGGGGTGGGGCCTGGGGACAGTGGGGAGGGTGGGACATGGAGGCTGGTGGTGTCCAGAGCCCAGTCTTGCTTCTGTGCTGAGGAGCCACTGGAGGAGGGCTGGGTGAGTTGCTCCAGGGAGGCAGAGAGGCCTTCCATCTGTCATTGGCCAGAAAGGCTTGGATAGTGACAAGACACAGGGTGCAGTTTGAACTTTTGGGTTTGTTGGGGGTGGTCCTAGGGATTGAATCTAGAGCTTTCTTACTGGGCTACCTCTCTAGCCCTTTTCTATTTTGAGACAGGACCTCATTTACATTTTTTTTTTGAGACATGGTTTTGCTAAGTTACCCAAGATGGACTTGAACTTGTGATTCTCCTGCCTGAGCTTCCAGAGAAGCTGGGATGACAGGTGTGTGCCACCAGGCCCAGCCTACAATTCACATTTTAAAGTGTGTGATCTGATTTTTTTGAGACAGGGGCTAACTTTGAATTCACTATATATCTCAGGCTGGCTTCAGTCTCTCAAGCAGGAGGATCACTGGCATGCATTACCATGCCCAACATAATGTATGTAATCCTAGCACTAGTGAGGCTGAGGCACTAAGATCTCTGCAAGTTCAAGGCCTACATACATACTACTATTACATAGTGAGTTTAAGGCCAGCCTGAACTATGTAGTGAGATCCTGTCTCAAAATAAGTAACTAAATAGAGCCAGGGAGGTAGCTCAGTGCACTTGCCAGGGTCCTGAGTTCAATCCCCAGCACAAAAAATAACAAGACAAAACGAAACAACAACAAAAAAACAAAAAAGTAAATAAAGTGTGTAATTTAGTGGTTTCTACTATATTCCAGGAATTGTACTACCATCACCAATACCCAGTTCTGAGATATTCTATCACCCCAGATTATCAGAACTTTTTTTCCAAGACAAGAGTCTCACTATGTGGTTCAGCCTGGCCTTGAACTATGTAGCCAAGGGTGGCCTCAAATTCACAGCAATCTTGTCTCAATCTCCCCAGTGCTGGGACAGGCATGCACCACCATACACAGCTGTTAAGAAACTTCTAAACTCAAGAATAGCTATTTTGTGCAGTTACTACAATGGCAGTGCAAATGCAGCACCTACCATGTACCAGACGAAAGCCAGGCCCCCAAGAATCTTCCTCTAGGACTCCACAGTATACCAAGGGCCCCAATCCCCAGCACCCCAGGTGAGTCTTGCTGGGATAGCAGTATGGCCCTGCTTGTCCCTTGTACCTTACCAAGGGCCAGTGCCCTCTGGGTCAGACAGAGGCTGGTGACCCAGTCCAGACGCCTCACTTCCCCAAACAGGTTTGACCAGCCAAGGCCTGTCCAGAAGAACTAAGAGTAGAGGCGATCGGACACCTGCATGCTGCCCTGCAGCTGGGGTGGGGCTGCCCCATCCACTGACAGGTGGATAAACACAGTGTGGTCCATCCTCACAACAGAACATCACTCAGCCAGGAAAGCAGCAAGGCTATGAAACTCACCCCAGCAGACAGACAGGCTCTGAAGACACTATGCTTAATGAGATGCCAGAAACACACAGAACACCCAGTGCAGGGTTCCCTGGATAGGAAATACCTAGGACAGACAAATGCTGAGACAGGAAATGGACTTGTGGATGCCAGGGGGTGAGGAGGGCATGGATGGGGAGGCCTCTGCGGTGACAGAATGTTCTGGAAGCAGGTCACGGTGGCAACCACACTGAATGTTACTGAACCACACAGTGTTTGTTTGGTTTTGTTTTTGGTACCAGGGATTGAACTTGAGCTTGTGAGGCAGGCTGCGGAACCACTCAGCTAAATCCCCAGCCTCACATAGTGGGAATGGGCAAAATTTTACTTCAATAAAAGTTGCTTGTTTTCTTAGACAGGGTCTCCCTGTGTAGCCCAGACTGGCCTTGAACTTGCAGTGATCCTCCTGCCTCAGCCTCCCAAGAGCTAGGATGAAGACACCTGTACCTGCCTAGCTAATAAAGGTTCTTCTTGTTTTTTGGTACCAGGGATCGAACTCGGGTCCTTGCACTTGCAAGGCAGGCAGCGGCCCCACTGAGCTAAATCCCCGGCCCTGTTTTTGTTTTTTGTCTCATTATGCAGTGGGCTGGCCTTGAACTATGCTGCAGAAGCTGGCCTCAAACTCTCAGTGTTCTTCCTGCCTCAACCTCTTTGAGTGTTGGGATTACAGGTGTGTGCCACCACACCTGTCTAATAAAGGTTCTTCTTAGTAGAAAGTCCAACTGTGACACAGAGAGCTGGGTATGGAAGGCCAGTACCCAGTACTGAAACCTGGGATGGCCACACTCACAGACAAGAGGGGACTCACTGGGCAGCGCTGGATGTGGGTGAGGGGCAAGAAGCCTCGGAGGTGCTGGTGTGAAGGATGGAGGGAGGGGATGGGTGGCACAGCCCTGGGGGGGTTGGCCTGGGGCTGTTCTGCCAGTGCAGCCTGCACTGACTCTGAGCTGTGAGCACACAGGCGGTGCCAGTTCCCAGCAGGGCCTGGCAAAGTTATTTATAGAGCTGGCTGTGGCCTGAGTCCACAGTCTGGCGGGTACCCAGGGCCTCTAGGGGAACGCTGGGGACCAGGATGGACACAGTGACACTGCCTCTTCAGGAGAGTGTGGAGTGGCCCAAGAGGCTTCCATAGCACATGCTCAGTCTATCTTCTGTCTCCCAGGGTTTCATGTGGCCCTGACCTCCCCTGCCGAAGGGACAACAAACCCAGGAGGCTAAATGTGCCTCTACCTTAGAGGAGACTGCAGAACACAGGCAGGATGAGCCCGAACCAACCCTGGGCCAGAGGTGGTCATTGAGGCTCCCCTACATCAGAGCCAAAGAGACCTGGCTCCTGGCCACAGCCACTTGCTCTTGAAGCTCTGGTGCAAGCCCCCTCAGGGACGCTCAGGCTGGTACTAGCCAGGGGCACCACATGCTGCAGAGGCTGGGTGCTGACACTGGGGCCAAAAGTCGACTGGCTCCATTGCAAGGCGTGGAAGGAGCCTCTCTTCCTGGGACAGGAGCCACTGTTGAGCAGTGAGAGTAACCTAGGGCACTCCTGTCTGGCCTCCTACCCACCCTATCCCACTGCCCAAGTTCCCACTCCCTTGGTTTGGTGAAGTTGGTCTCGGGACATGTGGTTCACTGGCAGCCTTCTCTCACCTCCCAGTAGCCTGCCCAACAACAGCAGCAGAGATGGCCCCCATACCAATCCCAGTTGCAAGGAGGGGGCAGCATACCAACCTGGGAGATTAGCCCATTAGAGCCTTGAAAACCACTGCACATGTAGGGGCCTAGTGGAGCACTCCTGTAACCCCAGCACTTAGGGGGCTGAGGCGGGAGGATCACTGCAAGTTCAAGGCCAGCCTGGGCTACATAGCAAGACTTTACCTCAACAAACAAACACCAACACTAGGAGAGAAAGCAAAAGCCACCTACTGACAAGACATAGACCGGTAGGAGTCTCTGCCACTAGCTCAAGGCCAAAGATGCCCTAGGCTGCATGCCACCAGCAGAACAAAGATTCTGCCCCCACTTTCCCAATGTGCCAGTTACCTACACTCAACTGCAACTCGAGGTATTAGGATGTTCCTCAGCGACACCACATCAAGGTGGGGAGCAGCACAAAGGTCTGGGTCCGAAGCAGGGTTCCCTGGTCACACTGCCTGCTCCATCCAGCTGGAGTATGTTATGCACTCTGCTGGGAGCACATAGCCAATTCAAACTTTTCCAAATAATTCATGCAGGGTCTCCCTCAGCAATCTCCACCCTGGGCCCGGGTCCTTCTCCCTGGGGTGGGGCATCCTAGGCACTGCAGAGTGCTGAGCAGCATCTCTGACTCCTACCCACTCCATGCCAAATGCACCCCTAGTCCTGACCATCACCAATGCCCCAGACCTTACCCAGTGACTCCTGGGGCAGCATCTCCCCAGGCAAGAGCCCCTGCTGCCCTACCTGGGACCTTCCTGACCTACTGTCTGGTGCCGCCTCTCTGACCCCAGCCAGTGCTCACTCACACAACAGTGTTTTCAGGTGATTCCCCAGACACACCCACAGCCACCTCGCCACACCACTCTCTTCACACCTGCTCCTCATTTGCCTAAACTCTCCTAGCAGACTGATGCTGAGCTGTAACACATGCTAGCCCCTGCGCCCAGCTGTGTCCCTGGCTGCTCTTTGCAGGAGCCTTCCCATTTTCAGCTCACACCTGACACTCATGCAAGCAATGCTAGGCCGTACCCGTTTCGTCCTGCCTCAGCAGTGTCCAGGACAGAACCAGGCTGGCAGGAGCTGGCCTAAGTAGGCACTCCTCCCTTGGGGACAACCAAACCATCCAGGACTACTCCTCCTTCCCCTGGCTCCTGGTAAGGCCTCACAGGTGTCTCAGGTGCAGAGCCAGCTCCTCACAGGTATCCCAGGTGCAACAAGAACCTGGTGCCTCTCAGGTGTCCCAGGTGCAATGAAAACCTGGCTCCTCACAGGTGTTCCAGGTGCTGGGCCAGCACGTCCCAGGCGTCCCAGGTGCAAGCCTATTCTTCTCAGGCGTCCCAGGTGCAGTGTGAGCTAGGCATGGGGGCATATGCCTGTAATCCCAGGACTTGGGAAGCTGAAGCAGGAGGAATGCTGTGAGTTTGAGGCCAGCCTGGGTACACAGTAAGTTCACAACTAACCTAGAAAGCTAGGAAACAGTGGTACACGCCTACAGCCCTAGCACTTGGAAGGCTGAGGCAGGAGGATCACTTTAAATTTGAAGACAATCTAGGTTACATAGTGAGTTCAAGGCCAGCTTGAACTACATAGCAAGACCCTGTCTTAAAACAAACAAACAAAC